CTTTTGAATTTTTTTATTTTTTGTTAAAGAAAATCAAAGTTCTTAAGAAATTTATACCTAATAAGGATGATAATATTCCACAAATAATAACAATAACATGTGCACGACGTATAGTAATAATTTTATATAATGGCCAACATATACAAAAATATCGATCAAATGCAATTGTTGTTATAAGAAGAGTTGAATAAAGTACATGTGTTGATAAAAAACCATAAAATTTACATAGAAATTCATTTCGAATGCCTGTTTTTAAATACAAAATCATATTAGGATTAGTCAATAATTCTTAAAGCTAATAGGATTCATTTGTTTTTATGTTATTTAAGTGTCAAAGATTTAAAAGCAAACAAAAAAAAGTACTATCAAAATTCTATTTTTATTTTTTTTTTGAAAGTTTTCAAATGGTTTCTGATGAATATTATTTGGTTTCCAATTTTAATTTGTTTTCTTTTGTTGTCTATAAGTAAAAAAAGAATGATAATGATAATGATGAAAACAACATGAAGCTGTTAAAAGAATAATTCTCTTTTTTTCCTGTTATTATTATTATTCAAAGATATATATATACACATATATATATCTTTGAGTATAGTTCAAACATTTTGTTTTCATAATTAATTTTTTACCTGTTGTTATTTGATATAATTCTAAAGGTGCCAAAATCAAACATATAATTAAATCAACAACAGCTAACATTTTTATAAAAAATGTAGATGTTTTATTATCTTTACGATTAATATAAACATAAAGTACAAGAATATTTCCTATTGTACCAAATATAATTGTTACTAATAAAACGATCCATAAAGCAATTAATATAAATAAATGTATTGAATGATTAAGATTATTTAAATGGATTTGACTAGCATAATTCATAGAAGTTTCATTTGATATATGTGATGTTAATGATGATTGTATTATTTCATAATATGATGTTGTATCCATTGATGATTATCTGTTTTATATATTTTCTAAATCTTTAGTTAAAAAAAAAAATATTGTAAAAAATAAGTTACAATATAATCTGTCGAACATATTTGCTCACTAAAAACTTTTTTATTCTTACATGCACGCATATATGCAACGTCATTAACATGTAGTAAACTATGTCTATTCATTGACAACTATCAGTTTGATACCTATAATTAATAATGAAAATAAGCTTTTGACAAAAAAAAACACTAGAAAGTTACATATACTCGCGTGATTTATATTAGAATGCGATAAGACTAGATAATATAGTCAAATGTAATGACAATGAACAGACCGAACTTGAACTATATTATTGTTCGGTGAGAAAAACAAAGAAAGATATCTATGCCCTTTTTCCTATATGATCATAAACCTTGTACTCGATATTTCAAGTGTATCTTCAAAAAACAAAAAAAATGTTTTATTTCTTCTCGTTATCTTTCTCTTTTTCTGCTCGACATTCTTTCTCACTTTGTTCTAATTATATTGACTATAGGCATTCCTTTTTTTCTCCCTCTCTCTCTCTCTTTCTCTCTTTGTTCCCTCAGTCTATATCCTGTTCAGCTTAGCTCGCCAATGTTGATAGGCGGTGCGCAAGCTCGCATTTTCCTAAGCACGCACATATACGCATATAAATACACACACGCAATATGACATCGTTTCATCAGTACTGCATCATCATTGACTAATCGTAATAAAAACAATAATGATAGTATGATTCGTAACTTGAAAATCATTATAAAGAGATCGTCATAGAAATATATATATATACTGAGCGAATGCCAATAATAAGTCATCTATAAAGGAAAGATCGAAGAAAGACAAAAAAAAAAAGGGAGTGTACGTGACGTAGAATTTTAAGGAAAAAAATCGAAGAAAAAAAGAACAGAGAAAAAGACAGAGTCAATTAAAATAATCGTTAGTCGAGAGGAATGAGAGACCTCCTGACATCAAAGTAGTTGTTGGTTGAAGAGGCTTGTAAGAAACAAAGCCAAAAATTTCATGATCCATACATGTCTTCTCAAATGAATTAGCTTTTTCTGAAAGTGCATATAATCAATTTTTCACATTGAATTAAAAATCAAGGACAGATGTTTTCGTGCAATTGGTGGATTACAAATGTCATCAATTCAATTTTGCTTAACTAAACAAAAGTATAAACATACAATCTTTTCTAACAACGCCTATTCTCAAGCGATAAATATTTGACTCAATCCGGCACAATATTATCATTTTTTTTTACAAAATATTAGTTATTTCTTGGTTTCTTTTTTTTTACACTTGAAAACATCATATGTTAACAAAAGATGATGACAAAACAAGAGACAACTATTTAAAAACTCAATTAACGGTTGTTTTCCAGTATTTTCCATGTTCTTTTTTTTTTTTACTAATGTAATAGTGTGGCTTGTAGATCTGGAAAATGTCTTTGTTTATGTCAATATACACTTTCTCTATACATGCAATAGCAGACAGCAACAGCTTATTTGTCTATGAATTATTAGACTGAATTGAATAAGTAGAAAAAGATCAACTACCGTTGCAAGAGTAATTTTGATGTATTTTTTAACTGTGTTCTATATCATTATGATGTGAACATGTCTCTATGCGTGTTTTTTTTCAATTTAAGAACTTAATGAGAAATTGCACCCAAGAATAAAAGCATTTGTTTTCTATTGAGTGTCGATTTCGAAAGCGTTCATGATATAGTCAATCATGTATTTTCAAACATACATTCATAAATCTGGATTGCACACGTTCATGAACATTTGTCATGAACACACAATAACAAGCTATTATAAAAATAGAGAAAGAAAGAAAGAAAAAAAAAAAGGGGGGGGGGGGGAAGAAGAGATTAGTAAAAAGAAGAAAGAAGACTAACCGACGGACTTGGATACAGACACAAACACACGCCTAGGACACAACACAAAACGGAAGTCGTTTTCTTTCTGTTTTTCCATGCCTATATTTTTCTTTCGATGCCAATGACTATAAGCTACCAGTCATAACTAGTTTCCCCTATGCTGTTTTCTTTCTTTTTTAATATAACAAAACTAAAAAAAAAACGATGTAATCTTCAAAAAAAAGATTATCATATTAGGGTGTTAATGCTTACAGTGATATTTCCTCTTGAATATCCGTGTACTTGTATTGATGTAAAACTAATTAAAATAGTTTTCTAAGTAGACTGTTCTAGATGAATTAGTTTATTGTTAACCATTTTTCTCTATGTAACAATATTTTATTTTAACGATTTTCATTTAAACTTTATTTTATATAGATAACCAAGTCAGTAACTTTAAAAGTCTTATTGTTGTCGATCTCTAAATCATTGTGTATGGTAAAATGTTATGTCAATAAAATTAAAACATAGCAAACAATGTTGCTGATCGGATAACCTATATAGACAATAATAAAAAAAATAGGCAATGAACAGTGATAAGATAAAATGCGATCGTATTTTCCAATCGAACGAATTATATAAAGAAAAAAAATTCCCAAACGAATACTCTATAGCATCGTCAATTTATTTCAATCTTGATCATTATAATATATCATCACTAATGTCTATTCTTAAGAAAATATATCCAAGGTAGATTAATAACTCGTTCCTAAAACTTGACATGTATATGCGCATTTTTAAACAAATAGTTTTGTTTTTCTGGAATATTTTTTACTTTCATTAATAAATTATGAAGAATTCTTAAGAAACATGCACTAACTAAACTAAATAGAAATCAAGCATGTGTTTATATAAATGAGAAACTATTTCAAACACGAGATTATTGATATAACATTAGCAATTTGTACTTAAATTGGACAATAAGCAAAAAAAACCTATGCCTACGCTTCATTTAACAGTCGTTGAATATCAAATAAATCATCAATCTTTTCTCTTTTTTCTTTCTCTTATTCTATAATTAAAATAGATATCAACAATAGACGAGAAGAAATCTGAAAGAAGTTAAACTTACATTAACCAATAGGTATTTAACAATGATAAAATTTCTTTTTTCTCTCTTCACCTTAGAGATTAACTTTCTTTTTGCTTGATAAAAATACAATACATGTATTAACAACAGGAGAATTAATAGAATATGGAAAAAGTATAAAAAAAAAAGATAAAGAGTGAGAGAGAGGAAAACAGTAGGGAAGTCTCCTTAGAGATCAATTCTCTGAGTAGCATTATCCTCTCATACACACACACACACTCACACACAATGACATAGGCATGAAAAAAAACAAGAGAAAAAAAAAATGAAACAAAAATATGATCAACGACTATTAGCAAATACAATGAAAACAAGAGATTTGTTCGTTTTTTTTTTCTGTATTCGCAGATAGATAATGACCCTATCGATTCTAATGATTTACAGACACTGATTTCTTGTTTTTTATTATTAGGTTTTTTTTTACATCTAAAAAAAAAGTACCTATGAACGAAGAAGGATAGGAAGAGAAAAAGCAAAAAAAAAATACTTAAGAGAGATTGATGGAAGAGGCTATTTCAATATTTTTGCATGTGAATATCTTATGTATGTGTGTGAATGAGTAACATGCAAATGAGATTTTTCAACGACTTGTAGAAAGACTCATCTAGGAAAGACAATAATTTTTCTCAGGCTAATCATTATATCAATTCGTCATTGAGAATAAGATGATCAAAAAAAAAAACAGAATAAATCATCATGTTCTTTTTTATCTTAACTAGGTTTTTTTTCTCTTGTACTCTAATTCCCTTGAACATGTTTTCTTTTTGAGAATTTTCAATTAAGAGAAAAAAGAAATTAGGTATCAGGTGTCCTATAGATTTATGAGTAAATCATATATTATATTAAATATTTAATTGTATAATAGATTTTTCTTTTCCAAGAATGTTTGAGCATCAAATTGATATAAATGAACTAGTTTATTGTACTTATGTTGCACGTAACAAGAAAAAAAGAAACATAATCGATTACATAAAAATTCAAATAGTTCAATGTTTTGTTTGCATCATTTTCAATTGTTGTTGGCATTTCGTCTCATTTCTACAAATGAAAATCTTTATATTTAAAAATCATTAAATCAATAAATACTTACATAAGGTTCTAGTAGATTATTACCATTGAATTTTTTATCTTTTGTTTCAGCTAAATATTCAATAGTATTAATAAAACAAAACAAAACAAAACAATCAAATTTACTTACTATTTTCATTTGAAGTCTTTTCACGTAAATCCTCAACTTCTTGAGAAATTAAATCATCATGTGCAATAATTTTATCAGAATTTATTGATGTTGTTGTTGTTTCTAATTGCTTTGTTATTATTGTTTCATTTTCAGGAACTTTTATTATTTGCTCCGAGATGCCTTGAAGATCTATATATATATATATATATATATATGGAAAAACAAAAGATGAATGGTAGATAGATAGATAGGAAAAAATACAACAAGTCAACTTACCAAGAGAATGAATAATATAAGTAAAAAGTGTTGATTCAGCATCGGTAGCTCCATCAATAACACATGAATATACGCGTTCATGTATATTACTATTGATTGTTAGTTCAATAGAATAATCAAATAATGAAAGAGGGAATATCCGACGTAGTTGATCACCATTATATTGGTTCTTTGAAAGATAATCATTAATAAGAATATTGTCTATTGATGCATTACCAACAATCCAAAATACATTAACTGGACCTATATAGAAAAAAAAATGAAATCTTTTTTATTTATTGTGTTGTAAATTCTTTACGATTATAACTATGTATAACACATTGAAGAAATGCTGTTTGATAAGCATCAATGATTGTTGGTGACGTTGTATGCATATTTGTAAAACATGGTAATTGACTTAAACTTATTTGACAAAGTCTAGGAGCTATACAACAATAACAAACAAAAAAAACGAACTAGATATTTTATTTCTTTATTTAAATTTCTTCCAAACCAGTTAATTTAACATGATAACTAAGTGCTCGTAAATTTGCATTTTCTTCCAAACGATTATCTTCATTATTATTCTTATGATTTGATGATCGTGGGCGAATAATACATTGATAAATTCCACTATCATCAATATTTACATATCGTAATAAAATTGATACATCAGCTATATCTGTTTCATTAGAATTTGTTAAATATGATACAGCACTTGTTATAAAGCGAACAACTGTTGGACGTACAATAGTATATACAGGATAAATTTTTATATTACTTGAGTTTTGAAAATCTTGATACCACCATTCAATAATTGAATCTTCAAAAAAAAGAAAATACTAATATACAAAAATAATTCATTAATTTAATATTTTATTTTACGTTTTGAATGAGCAACATGACAAGGTAAAATTAAACTATTACTAGATGAACGTAAACGAATTGGATTCTGTGTTGATATTTCAAGAAAACATGGTGTATCTTTATCATCAATTGATGTTAAATTATTACAATATGTAGCAGTTGATGATGATAAAAACTAAATGAAAATTAAGATTATCGTTTAGATTAATATTTAACTTACAATTGTTACTAAAATAAATGTATACAAGTGCAAATACTGGTAGTTAAAGATCATTTTTTTTACGTCTGATATGCACGTTTGACGAACGACGAAGTGAATAGGATAACACTGATCACAATCAAATTGTTTATAAACAATCTTTTTCTTTTATGATTTGAATAAAGAAGATATATACAAACTTGTATATATAATCGTTATTGTCATTCTATCAAATAACAGTATGAAACGACCAAAATGTATCGTACGCAATAACCCTTTCATTATTTTATCGAGGCATATTTTCGTTTTACAGTTCACATAGGACATCGAAATCAAAAGTTCGATTTAAATCTTCTTTTATATACTTTATCATTTATGATATTGAACAAAAGAAAATGTGATGAAAATTTTGTAACTGTTTTATAAGTATGCCGTTAATGTCAAACGGTAACTCATAGTTATAAAAAAAAAATATAATCTCTCACATTTTTTATCTTCCACGATAAATTGTTGTAAGTTATGAATTATTGATATAATATTGTAAAAGTCGAATTTTAATCATTCATTAGGAAATACTTCTAAATAACTTTTCTTTTCTATTAAAATAAAAAATAAATAAATCGGATATAGGTGGAAACCCTAAAAAAGCAATGTTTGGTATTTCAAATATGTTTGTTTATTATTTGATCCTTGTAGAAATATATGATTTAATAGGTACTTATATCACAAATGTTTATAATGACTCGTCATTTTCAAACTTTTAAATGTTACCAGCAAAAGAATTGAAACTGATTTTATAGTTATATTTATCACTTGCATACGGTTTATAGACTTATTCATATTTAAATTTTTTATAATGATTACTGAAGTATTACGATTATTTTCTTTGAGGAGCCTGATATATTAATTCATTCTGTAAATATATGTATGCCCGCAAAAAAAAAAAAAGGAATCAATTAATTGAACACGATCATATTCAATTCAATTAATATCATTGAAGGTTGATCAAAAAAAAACATCAAAGTAAAAGCGATCGAAAAGAATTATTCCTATTCTCTTAAAGAAAAGCTTCTGCACCACTTTTATAGTATTTCTAATTACAAAATGCAGTTGCGAAGATCGCCTACACATAGTATGAATAAAGGTATCGAATGTGAAAGAAGAAGAAGACGAAGAAAAAAAAAGAACGAAAAGAAGGGTACATTCTCCTCTCTTACAAGATTTTTTTTTATTACTCGTTGTTATATGTTTTGTTTCGTTCTAGACAACGAAATGACATATATATACGTATTTTTTTTGGAATAGTGATGCATTATTTAATATAAAAGAAGACGAAGAGAACAAAAAAAAGAAACTAACTGTTGTGTTGTTCTCATCATCTTTCGTTAATTCAACTACATCTCTACGAACTTAATTATATTGAATTGCTTAAAAATATAAAGCAAATATCATGTTTTTTCTTATCAGTTTTGCATGGCTCGTAACTGCTAGTTTTGCTTTTGTTCTGGCTATTTTAACTCCGAATTGGTTATCATTTACGAGGTCAGATGGAAATATTACAGAACGTGGAGTGTTTTATATATGTGATTCGCTTCCAAATTATAATGATTATAAGGTAACAAGATGTTTATCAATGATCGAACAGAAATCATCAACGGAACCAAATAAATGGATCTACGGTAAGTAATATTATTTTTAATTGAAATTTTCTTTTTAATATAACTGTCAAATTTCATTTATTATTATTATTATTTATCATTATTTGACAAAATAAATATTTTCAAATGATATTATTTTATGTCATTAATTGATGGTATATTTTATAAAAGAAAGAATAGAGAATATTGACTGATGAATTTTATTTCAAGGTTTTCATAGAATTTGCTATTGCATGCGCATCATTGGCTATTGCTTGTGCTGGACTTAGTATCATTGCTTTATGGTTATCGGGAATTTATTTTTATGTACGTCGACGAACTAGACAAACATTTTGTTTTCTTTGGTGTATTATTTTTCTAATTTTAATTATCTGTAAGTAAATTAATAAATTCATATTTTAAAATAATTTTTATTTTGAAATACATTTCATAGTTTGTTCTTCATTTGTTGTTTGGATTTTACTTATCTCAGAAGCTATTAAACTTGGCATTTCAATTGATCGTCGTATATTTCGTTGGCCAATGTGGTTAGCAATTGGCGCAACGGGTAGTTATTTAGTATCATTGATAACAATGATTTTTTCATTTTGTGCGATAAATCGACGGAAAAATAAAATAGAACAAAATTACTATCGTCCAAGAAATCAATTTTAAGACATTATTTATTTCATGTTAGTTTTCCTCTTTTTTATTGTTATGATTAGTATTCATCAAAATTCACTTTTTTAAATTAATATACTTGTATATTCCTAATATCTTTTCTTAGATTGCATTTCTTACGCTCTTGTTTACAAATTCATATATCTTTCTGAGAAGATAAAAGCACGGAAGAAAAAGAAATTAGAAAGAAAAATTTTCATAAATTTATGACTGGACGGAGTTTTTCTTTTTGTTTTTTTTTATCGATTAATGTGTTAAATACCTATCAGTTCTTGCAAATAGCAACTAGATACATAAGAAATGCATATAAATATACACTTAATGATCCTAAATTGATCCAAAGTGAATAGCCAAAATTTTTGAGATGAATATCAGAATGTTCAAATAATTCTTGTTGTGCATTTATTGTTAACATCATTGCCCAAACAATAATCGAAAATAACACTAAAGAAAAATATTATTCAAGTAAAATTATAATTTTCACATACAGCTACATAAAGTTGTAAACAGAGTTAATGCAAGTAATCGTCTTGAACCACTATTATATGCACATTGTTCTATATACCAAGAACCAAGTAAAAGACCAATAAAACTAATACAAATACAAACAATTGACAACGAGGCAACAATAATTGGATATATCATATTTACTAACAAAAAAAATTAAATAAATAAATTCATTCTTTATTTTTCCTTGTTTGAGAAAAGACAAAGAAGCTTTTTTATCAATTACTTGCTTCAAGTAACGGATTATTTAATTGTGCAGAGAAAATCCATTGACAAGATTTTGATAGTGACGAGTTAGTGCATATTTGAAATATATTCATATTTATATTTTTTTCCGAATTAATATACCAATTTGGTGTGAGAATAGCTGCGATAAATAATAAAGTAGCGATTAATAGTAGATGATGTCCATGTAGAGCCAGCGACATATTGCTTCTTCTTTTTCTTCAAACTGGAAAAGTAAAGGTCTTTAGTATGACACTCCTATTTTTTTTCTCTTTTGCACTTTTTTTTGATTGCGTCGTTGTCTTAGTGCTAGCAAACATCATGTTCTCTTGTTCACTTTACCCTCTATCTCCCTCTTCATTTGCTTTCATAATCATATCACGTAATTTCATTGACTTGTCATTTTCCGACAGCAAGAATTACTGATTGTAATAGCACAGTAGATCTCTATCTGTAAGAAAAAAAAAGGAATTTGATTCAAAGACGTGATAAAATAATAAAGAGTGCTTTTCTTATCACTGAATTAAAAGCATTTACTTAGTTCATGGAACTAAAAAGAATATTTTTCTTCTCTTATATTTATATTCTATTCCAATATATAGGTCAATTTGGAGTAAAAAAAAAACAAAAGCGTTAAGTGGCACCAAGTTCTGGTCTTTCTTCCTTTATAATGTAAAACATATCTACATTCAGAAAGAATTAAAGAATAAGCTTGTCGAATTTTGAAAATCTAAGAAAATGTTGTATTCTTTGTTGAAAAAAATAAATTATTTTAAAGACCAGAAAATAATATATTATGTCAATTATATCTAGATAAAATATGAGCCGACATAATGTCATTGACTAGCTATAATACATTAACATGAAACTATAAATGAATCGTTGAAATTTGAGATTGAGACGCAAGATTCTGTATACTTGAATCAAACGTAGTACGATAAATATTGTCTTTTTCTCGACTTGATATCGTCCAAAAAAAGATTAACAAATATTAATATCATTTTTACCTGTAATTTCGAATAGAAGATATTGGATTCTTTTTCATTTTAATAGAAAATTATATTTGTAGCTAATTCCAATTATTTTTTAATAGAAAAAAATCGGTACATATTTATTACAGTTTAAATTTATTTTTCTAATTTTTTAATAATATTTCAATCATGAAATTTCTGAATATTGTCAACAATGATCGATTGTGCTGTTAAAGTGCCCACATAAAAAAGGAACATGTAGTAGGTTGATAGTGGAAGTTTATGATCTTCTTCCTTTTTAATAGGAATGACTTTCATTGAAAAAAGTGCACAATTATATGAGAGTGGAACTAAGAATAATTTTTCTCAATTCTAAAGAACATGTTTGAGTGACGATGAGCATATTGTAATCTGAAAGATTGAATAATATAACTTTCATCTACTCTAATGGGTGTGCTAATTTAGTTAATGATTAATTTTATAAGAGAACTCTGAGTAAATTATTACTTTTTGAATCAAATAATTATTGATTATTTATTGTTAAATATCAGTATAATCTCAGTCATAAAGAACAAAATATTTTAAACTTTATCTCATAAGATATATGCTATATTATTTTTACGAACTTTATTTTTATACAATAAATTTTAAGACAATTGTTCTCGTTTTTCTCGATGAAAAAATTGTTTTTAATACGTAATTTTTAAATTGTACTTTGACTTTATAAAGTTATTTCAAAATGTGATAAATCTATACCATTAAATACAAAATCGAATAATGATGTTAATCATATTGATATTCACTATTAGCTGTTCAACCTAATTGTGATATTTCAGATAAATTGTTTGGTTAAAAAGTAATTGTATGAAAAAGTGAACTAATCATATTGTTATTTTTAATAAAATAAACTGATATTAGATCTTGATCTTCATCATAGACATACATATATTTTTGTATTATATGTAATATTTCTTCTAATAAATTTAACGAAGATGATGTTTATTTTCCTTGTTCAGTATAAAGAAGTTGTTGTTGACATAAATTAAAATATGTTACTTCATAAGCCACACGTTCAGTAGATTGGCCTGTTACTATCCGTTCTTATGGCTATTTACTTTCATGAAAAGAATGAAAAACAATATCAACAACAAATCGATCATGTTTTGTTGCTTAACATATAGAATCAATCTCCTTAAGTACAGATTTATCGGATCCACCAGTTCGATATTGTGCTGATACAATAATATCAATTGTATTCAATCATTTGTTTCTTTAGCAATACCATGAATCCTTCCAACATAAACACCATGTGAAAATCGACGTCAACAATATTGGATACGTATACAAGGTTCTATATCTAAACCTATTTATTGTATACCAACTGAAAAACTAGGTAGATGACCAAAAAAAATTCCACCTACCCAACGAGCTTGTAATTCAATAATTATCCAATAAACACTTCGATACATACCAATAAATGGTAAACATTTCGATGAAGTATAAGAGGACAAAAGATATCATCAGATTTGTAAGATAATTGTTTAAGTATATCGATTGAAAAAAAACAATCAAGACATGACTGATAACCAGTATATAAACTAAGAATATCATCATTAATTGTCTCAATTATTTGTTTCATTATTTAATATCAATGATGTTCCATCTTTATAAATTTCACTTAATTGTCCTTGTTTTAAAATTATTTTTCCTATTCGACTCCATTCAATATACAGATTTTATATAGCAAGAAATAGTTATCAATGGTACAAAACGTGCTACAGACCAAAAATTATGTAGTGCAATATGTATCATATGCTTAACACTTGTTGCCATATTAACAACTATTTCAGCTCCACTCATTCATGCACCAACAAGTATCATTCGTTTGTTATGCGCTTGTTCTGATGAACAGTAATCACTACTATGTATAAGTTTACCTTGAAATGTTGAAAGATCAATTATATCAACAGGTATATGAGAATATTCAAAAAAGCCTTATGCAACAATAATAAAATCATATAGAATTGACAATATTTCATTCGATTTTGTGCTGCCCAATGAGATGTTGTATCTTTAGAATACGTAACATTTATAACTTGAATAATAAATTGAGAAATATCATGTGATAATGATTGTCGAATATTGTTTGATAGATAAGAATAAACATCATTGGCTAGAAAATAATGATGCATTTGTAGATCAAGAAAAATTAGACAATATTGTAGAAAATTTAGAAATATTAGTTTTCATTGAGTTCCAACGTTGGTTTTAAATCAACATACCACATATATCTGAAGTTTTATCAAAAACACTAGGTCAAAAACCAACTTTATACATATGAACTACTGAAATAAGACCTGATACACCAGCATCTATAATAACTACACAATGTTGCTCACAATTCGACATAATTTATATGACGAACGTGACAGATTTATATTTATTTCATTTATTTAATGTGTTGTAAGACACTTTTCTTTGCCCTTTTTTTTTACTTTAATATTCTTATCCTCTTCTTTCATCGTGCTAATATTTTGGTATAGTTCTTCTACTGGTCTTTGAGAACATTCTATAAAAAAGTCTATTTCTCGACTTATAAAAACTTGCAATGTCTATATGATTTGAAATGTATATTGATCAAGATGAAATTTAATATTTAATTATTAAATGTATATTGTTTTCGTTTACAATTTTTTTCCGAAAAAACATATCATGTTCGTTACCAAAACAAGCATAAAAATTGAATTAATCCTACTGATATGATTCAAATAAGTTTTAACGCTTTATCATTTTCACTAATGTCTAAATGATCGAACTATCAGAATTTAGCAGCTAACTGCAACTATTAGAAAACATATTTTTAGAAGTATGATAAACACTTTTTTTTTATCGAATCAATTTGTCTTTACAAACTTTATAAACGAGAATAACATTTTACTCTTACACATCTATACGAAAAAAAAATGATGAAATCGACAATGGTAAACTTTGTTTTTCGAAATGTAAATATACATTTTAGTAAGAAATGCACTTCATTTATCCAGGGACTTGAAATGTTCATTATTTTTCTTTGCCTGATTGTCTATTTTATCTAACGAATAGACACGATTATCAAACGAACGAACGAAAGAGAGAGAGAGAAAAAAAAAGATAGAATGAAAAGATTTAACGTGTCGACTAAAGAATTTGAATCAGTTATAATAGTCATTCCCTTCTTGTGGCGGCGATAACAATCACGACAATATCAGATTTTTCTTTCTATTGATTGATTTTATTCTTATTATTTAAAATTTTATATCGAAAAAAAAAACAAAGATAAATTGATGGCCGATCGCAAATTATTCGTTGGAAATCTTGTACGTCGTATTACTCAAGAAGATTTATGGGTTATGTATTCAACATTTGGACCATTAGAAGAATGCGCTAAATTTCATGAATCATTTGGTTTTGTTCGTTTCTTACATGCTGAAGATGCTCGACAAGCGTTAAAAGCTACTCATGGTATAACACTTAAAGGACGATGTATTAAAGTTGAATTTGCTGCAACTACGGCTTCATGGCGATCAGCTAATAATTCTTATTGTAATGAATGTCGTTCATCAGGTAAAATTTTTGTTTTTTCATTGAAATAATATTCATAAATATATCATTCGAAATTAGCTCGTTATAATATTCCACCTATTCGAGCTATTGATTTATCAAATCATCGAGGACATCATCATCGAATAATTAATGGATCATCATCATCATCTTTGTCACCGCCATCTATAGGTCCAATTGGTCATCGACAAAAAAGTCATTCGAAATCAAGTATGAATTCATTAGATTTTATTTTTTATTTTCATTCTTTGTTTTTTTTTTTGTATAGTTACTTCTGAATCAACAAATTCTTCTGATACTCGTCAATCTCATATATCATGTTCATCACCACCATCATCTTATGCTGCTTCATCAAGTCATGTTACTGAAATTGATGATTATGATTGTGATCTTGATAGTGGATATAATGATGAACATGATTCACCATTATTATCATCATCAACATATTTAATTCCAACATCACCATGGTATGATATGCCTATTGCTGATGAACTATTCATTTGGGTAATAGTTTTTCAAATGATTATCTCTTTCATTTTTGATTTATTTTGTTTTTAATATTTATTAAAGGATTTTCAATTGTATGCTGATATTGCTCGTGAACTTCCATTAATTAAAATAGATTATTTATCTTCTGAATTGATTGATGATGACACATCGACTACAATGGATTATTTTGCAAAATTAAATGTTGAAGAGTATTTATAAGCATTGTTTTATTTTTGATCGAAAGAAGTTCCTTTTTTTCCCAAGAATCAGTGTGTGTGTGTGTATAGAGTTAATTATAGTAAAAATTACTGATCAATTAAGTTCAATAGAGAGCTTTTGTGTTCAAAATATTTGTTTGTTTATCTTTTTTTTTCTTTGCTGAAAAACTTAAAATGAAATCTTGATGAATCCCGTTGTTTTGTTTCTTTTTTGTAATTCTCTCTTTTTCTCTTTGTGATACGGACAAGTTCTTTACTTTCTTGTCATTGTATGGCT